TCCCACCCCAAATAGCACCCTATCACCAAATGCTCAGAAAATTCTGAATTTTTTTTATGGGGGGTCTCTATGGCATGCGCAACACTGTCATAACTTTTTATTTTATTTTTATTTTTATTTTTTTTTTAAGTGCCAAAAAGTCATCGTCCGGAAATCCGGACGACGGGGGTACCCTACGTCCGGGGAGACGTCCGATCTCCAGACCATTGGTAACATAGCCTGTTAGTCATGTTATGTGTGCAATTATGCAATAGCAAGACCAACATTACGACACACAGTCATCACCAAAGGCAAAAACAAGAGACAACAATCAAACTACGGCAAACAACATCATGTCCTTTCAACACACACATTTTGCAACATGAAACAAAAATAGCGAAATTAATTCTAAAAAACACACAAACCGAAAAACTTAAAAAAAGAGTAAGACTCAAAATTTTAGAAATCTTCATCAGAATTTAGACAATGTGTTGAACACAGGAGACACTTGAGATTGTGAAAAGTTTGGTCTTCGAAAGACACACGACAATGCGAAAACCACTCTGGCTGTCCTAGTCAACTGAATCTACGCAATGTGCGGGCTACTCTGCCTCCTCCCCTGACTCATGCTCCCCGCCAGACTCCTCCTGCGACATTTCCTCCTCAAGATCCTCCTCAGATGACGACGTGGATGATGATGATTGGTTGCTTCCCTCGGACGGCGACGGCGTCGATCCCGGAGACTGCACTGTGGCGTTGCCATGTGGATTTTCATCGTCGTCCTCCATGACTCGAGGCACACGCCTCCTCTTCGCCCTCGGTGGCTTGACTGCTGCAGCTTTTGCTGCCTCAGCAACATCGGCCGCTTTTGCAGCCTTGGCCACAACCTCTTCCTCTTCTGCGACCTTCTTTGCAACCTTGGCTGCAACCTTTGCAACCTTCTTTGCAGGTGAAAGAGGAGGCTGCCTCCTCTTCCTCTTCTGCGGCACGACTTCACTATCTCCCTCCTTACTCTTCCCCTTGCACTTTGACCCTGCTCCATCGATCTCGGGTGTTGCTACCTTTCGTTTTCGTTGCCGACGCCACGCCTCCTCCTCCCTCCCCTGCATCCAATCACCCGCTTGTCGTGCCTTCATGGCACGGTCACGACCCTCTAGCGTGTAAAGGAATGCAGGTTCGGGCTCTTGGAGGTCCGAATTTCTGCGCAACTCACACACTCTGTGCTTCCCTGGCTTCGTGTTTGCATGCCAAGTGCGCTGCACCGAACCAAGTTGGGCGATGTCGTCCTCCTCGTCCACGAAGTCGTCCTCCTCATCATTTTTTTGCCACGTACGGATCAAAGGGACATCTCCATCATCATCATCGACAACCTCCTCCGCGGCTGCATCAACGGCTCTCCCCTCGATGACCTGCCTGGTCCAATTTTCGTACCACTCCTTCACCTCCATCTTTGCAAGCGGATTGTTCTTCCAAGGAATGTGGGTGTCCTCTGTCTCTCCGCGTGGTGAATTGGATGTTCCAATTGTTGTAAGCCATCTTTGCTAGTCTCTCGAGTAGGAGTTTGGTGAGCCGTTGTCCGTATATGAGGTCATGTAAGCTCCAGTTTCGCTCGCACGCGGCCGAAGAGCTCGCCTGGCCGAGAAGCTTGATGGTCTGCGGTTGGAGGAGGTCTAATGACCCCCCGAACACCTCCTACCAGAGTGTTGGTGATTGCACTTTGGCCTGCTCCTTTGCGTTCTCTTTCCCAAATGTGCCTAGTCCACAGACCCAAGTATCTACTTGCTTGCTGATTTCCTTCAGCAACTCCGGTGGCGCCCAAGAATAGAGCCAGATATTGAAACCCTCGCTGATCTCCGTATCCCGCAAGGTCTGCGACCGATACTCGAAATCGAGGAAGGCTGCGGCGCAATGCAACTTGGTTGTCATAAGGGCCCACTGGTCCATGAGAATGTTCTCCACCACTACCTTTTCGTTCTGCGTCAGACAGTCGAGGATCCGCATTTCGGCCACAATCTCGTTCATGCCGAAGTACACTTTGTTGATGGTCGCTCTGGGATCGTCCACCAAACGCATCAGCTTGACCACCGGCTCCATGACAACTATTGCTCTATCAACCTTGTTCCAAAAGCCTTCATTGTCCACAATGATGTGCGTGTTAGTGTTGAATGTCGCCACCTGCTCAACCCTCACCAATTTGTCAACCCACGCCACGTTCCTGACGCAAAGCTCAAGTGAAGTCCTACCTCTCTTCAGCGTCTCGAGCATTTCGAAGTTCGTTGCGAACCTCGTGATGGCTGGACGTTTGAGATGAGCGTTTGAAATTTTGTTAAACATCGCACAGACCTTGTCGATGTTGGTCACAAACTTGCCCACTTGGTTCCCCTTGTCGACGACGTTCTTCATCCAACCCAGTCGGTTATACATATCTTCCAATGCCAAGTCCAACGCATGGGCCGTGCAACCCACACTGAAAATCCTAGGGTACTTCGCCTCCACCATCATCCCGGTCTTCGAACAGACCCTCGCATTATCCATCACGATGCCGACGATGGACCGTGGACCGATCTCCTCGATAACTCCTTCCAACAGCTTGAAGTAAGCCGCTGAATCCTTATCCTTGCCTTCTATGCAAACGGACTTCCAAAACACAGTGCCAATCGGGGAGGAAACCATTACGTTGAGATGTGGTTTGTTCCTCCTCTCTGACCACCCGTCCATTTGCAGCATGCAGCCCGTCCTCTCCCACTTCCTCACCATACTCTTCATCTCGTTTCCAACAAGTCTGTGCTGCCCGTCCAACCGCTTCGTCATCATCTCGTCCCTCTTGCATGCCCCCCAACTAGGATAATACTTCTTAACTGCGTCAATGAACTGAAGGAAGTAGAAGTTCTCAATCAAACTGAACGGTTGATTCGTGCAAATCAGGAAATGGTCCAGATATCTGCTGATCTGGTCATTCTTGGTGATGATGCTGTCCGCCTCCTCGATCAGAGTTTGCCTCGTCGGCCGTCTGACCAACGGTGCAGCGTCCCTAGATGTCACGGGCGTGGCCGACTCCACAATAGCTGGAACAGGGGGTCTGCATGCCGTCGGGGATGGGATTACCAAGCTGCTCTAAGACGGAGCACTGCTCGGACCTGCACCCGCACTTCCCTTCCGTCCGATAAAGGCTTCCGCCTGCATCGGCCCCATTCGAATCCCCTTTATTCTCCTCACCCTCCCCTCTGCATCCAACGGGCGGGTCACACGCTCAATACCACACTTGCCATTTAAGAAGTGGTCCCTGAGGTTGGTAGCCGACCCAATGAAACACCTTTCGCAGTAGTTGCAGACCCAATGCCTATGCCCCTTGCTCTTGTGCTTCCCGGTCGGACCATTATCAATGAAGTGTCTCTTGAGTTGCTCAGTCAACACCTTCATGAGAGACATTTTTCCCTGCTCACATGCAGTCCATCAATAGCCCTGGCGTCAGCCCCTTGTCTCGCTCTTGGAGCATCCCCCGACTCAACCCCTCCAACACCCC